ATATATCGTGCACATATATATTCAATAAGAAACATCTTACACAATAAATGAACTAAAAACAAAAACAATAAAAACTACATAATGTTAAAAGCTCCTTAAAAGTAAATAAATAAAGAAACTAAGGAACGAAATCGCCTCCATGTCATATGCATGTATGTAAAGGTGTCATCATCCAGTAGAAAATACAAGTCATGCGTATGCTATTATCTCACTCATATTTCATGCAATCTTTCATCATCAATCAAGCGGTCCCATTCATCATCGCTGACTATAAATAAATATTCCCCTAAAAATAGAGTGTGTGCCAAGTCCTTTGATTAACCGCTTAGTAACGAGAAGAGTAAAAGTAAGAAGAAGAAAGACAAGTAACACCTTGAAAAGCCACGGAACCAACAAATAACACAATCTCTACGGCTGTAATAACCCCTTATGTCGACGGCCCAAAAAACAAATCAATCAATCAATCAATGTCACTTGAGGGAGAGCGGCTTCAGCTCTTGGGAAGACAGGACGTATTAAAATCCAACAGACGTTTCAGCTGTGCTAATATGCAGGTACAAATTAGTTTAGGTTATTTTTTTCACCATAACATTTAAGGTGGTATAAATGAATCCTTGAGGTATAACATAATATTAGGACTACAGAACGCCGACGGCTGGCGATGCTACCGACCAAGCGAAGCTTCGTGCCGACTGTACCCAACCTATTGCAAGATGATGTCACCAAAAGTGTCCCGTTAATACTCTTCCTCAAGGAGACCTGTCTTACCGACATGATGTAAATGGTACACGCAACGTGTGCTTTTCTTAATATGTATGTAAATATGCCCTAAATAAATTAGAAATAATAAATAAATAAATAAATAAATAAATAAATAAATAAGAGTAAGCAAAGTAAATGGAAAACATACAACACAAGACACATTTCACAGACATTTCCACTACATACAACACGCACAAATGCAAAGTAAAACTGACAGCTAACAACACCATACAAACCAAAAGACACGGGCTACACCATCACAAAAAAAACCCCCACAGAAGCTTTTCAACACACTGGCCATTCCATCTGGACTGTGATTGATTCACCATCATATCACCCAATCGTATCATAACTTATCCAAAAACCAAAACAAGAACAAAGAGGAAAGACCATCAGAATACAAGGAAAAAGAAGAAACAAACCCACCAGAGTAGTTAGGCCACCAGAGGAATATAAAGTGTAGTGCAAGAATGAAGACCAAGAATGAAGACAAAACCTCAAGAATAATCCAGGAGAGGAAAGAAGACAATAGTTCCGGCCGAAATGCCGAAATGCGAAGTGGCCAGAAATCCCCAAACAAGCCAAACCAACACCTTTTGTCGTCCAGTAAGTTAAAATTTAGTAGACATTTTTGTATTTGATTATACCAGGGTATCCTATTGAATCAGTGCATAGACTATTCTCTTATAATGATTAGATAGAAACTGTAAGTATTTATCACTGTTTTGATAGAGTGGCAGTGAAGAAATTTATTAACTACTGTAGACTGGGGCCTCGACTTTCTACTTCGCGTATTGGGAATGGGTCGCAGTCTTTTCACTAATAGTTTATATTAGCGTAAATCACTATTCCAAAATTTTAGCATATTTTTGTTTTGTCGCCAACCTTCAAACTCATACCAATACTGTACATATCTTTCAGCGCTTGTGCTTCTTTCTGAGCGCTAAGAATATCATTATTTAGTGAGCTGGTACGTCCCAGAGCAACTGAGTGTTCCGCAAATGAAGCTGAGGCTCAGTCGTATACTTTTACAGTGAAAGTCATATCACCTTTGTGTTTTCTCGGGTGATCTGAATTCCAGTGTAATAAAAAGCAAATGAGCCTCAGCGTCATATACGGAACACTCAGTTGCTCTGATCAGCTGTCCTGAGTCGTATTTGTCTTTTTAGTTGCAAAACTACTTATGCAATCAGTCGTTCGTGATTATGAAGTAGCTGAACGTGAACCCATCAGGCATTGATCACTTTTGATTGGAAAAAATGGTGTTCCACGACCAATATCAATTCCTACTTTTTAGTTATTATGACATCTAACAACTCAGTTTCTTGGTACATACACACTTGCAGTACACACTAGTATTCTCGAGAACCTGTTGACCAAGAAAACCCCCAGCTTTTGTTAGGGTAAAGTTACCCATCACGCGTAGGTGTTCTTTTCTTATTTTCTGTCTGTGGTTTCGGTTAGTAGCTTGTTCAGGAGTTCGTTTGTTGCCTTATCGCTGTTGTGGCTACGGTAGACACCGTCAACTAAGGCCACCTTATTGTCTCTATCTTTACCCTTTAACATAAAAAAATATGAACAAAGAATCGTGGCATTATATTTGAAGGTGCGGCTCTCCCCGCATTATTTCCAGGCCTGTTGTGTAGTTGTTGTTGTATCCATTAAACTGAGTTCTGCCTCTGAAAGTTTTTATTTTCGTGTTTTCATGTTCATCTACCATTACTATTAATCTAGATAATGCTTAGGAATCACCAATTGCGTAAAAACGTTCCTCATAAATTTTCCTTCCATTGATATATTTTTACTTGTGTCTGTGTCGGCAGGTTAACCCGGCCCTCTTTTCCAATAACAGAGCCAAACTTAAGACAAAAGAGGTCCAAGGTAAAGGTTCATTAGGGTCCATCTAGGTTTGATAAAATTTACATCTATTTATTTTCAAATTGTGGATCTTTTTATTAGTTTTATTACTTGCGATATTTATCTCTACAGTATTTATATATATATATATATTTTTATTGTCTCTAATTTATCTTTATTTTTAGCATCTGTAGAGTTCTGGGTAACCCGAGGGTCCTATTCGGCTAACCTGTTTGCTCTGCTTTTAATTTGGCCCTGGTTCCCGGGCATTGCTACCTTGAAATATTACCAAAACACAAAGTCTTCCAGTTACCTATGGAGGGTCCTATGATGATGAAGCCGACGCCAGTCAGCAGTGACATCGTCCCCAGAGTGGCAGCCATGTCGTCGAGTCCCATGTAGTGAGCGATGATCAGATTATTGATTCCCATATAGCTGCCCATACCACAGCCCCACACGCCCATGATTGCCATCTGCCACCATATGTTTGTAACCATACTAAATGCTGAAAATAAAAGAATCTATAATGTACTGTGATTTATCCACATGAGCTCTTTTTTATCAACAATGAATATTTCAGGGTCTTGAGGTCCCGTCACAGCAAGTTACTATTCTTCTACAAGTCCTCTGTCTTCGTACACATCGTTTTTGCTATTTCAATAAGAATTTATCTTCCAAGTAGCCTAAGTATATCTGGTATATTACTCAATATACTGAATGACAGTTGATTAACTCTACCCAAAAAAAATACAACCTCTCGTTATAATATTCAAATATAGCAGTGAAAGTTAGCCAATGAAACTATATTGAGTAATATATTTATCATTACATATCTTACGTTGTTCTATCTGACCGTAAGTTACACACTGTATTTTATGTATAATGTCAGTTGTGTGTTATTGCTCTTGTGTAGAGAACTTAAACTTCAAGAATAAGACTAAAAGTAGTCGATTGCATGAAGAATATTAGAATGTGTGTTCTTATTATAGATTTTCAAAATAAACACTATTTTACGACTGAACTTATTACTGAATCCATTTTTTCATTTGTAAGTTAGGTCATATGCTTAACGTTGTTTATGAAGCACCTGAACAACTTCAGAAAATTAAGATATAAATTGTTAATGCAGCATTTTACCTCCGTTGGGATTTTCACAGTAGAGGCTATCGTAATGGGTAAGTGTCATATGGTACTAACCTAGTGTAGAAACAGCTATGATGGCGATGCTGGTCATATAGCAAGCTCTCATGCTAAACCCAGACCAGTCAGACAACACACACACTGTTATGCGAGCCACCAAGTTACACGCGGCCGACACCGTCATGTACATTCTGGTTGTCTGGATGGGATGACCAGCTGCCTGTACGGCGAAGGGCATCAAGGACAAGAAATTCAGCCAACTGTTAGTTGTTAATACTCCTCCTACAGCGATGATGGTGCCTCGTAAATTTTTCAAGATGGACAAGTTGGTCACACTGTTTCGACACACACGGACGAATACATTGTCAGAAATATTGTCCCATTTATTTCTTTTATTGTCGGCATCTTGCGAGTGCGGCTCTTGATTGACGTTTTCCAAACAAGTATTTGCCTTTTCTTGACACTGTATAGTACCTATGAGGGTTGCGCCAACGCAGCAGTGAAGGATCACAGCACCAAATACAAGAGTGCCGCTGAAGAAGCCAAACTCTACCTGCAGGAACCCCACAATAACTGGTCCTATCATCAACCCCAAGCACGAACCAGTCATCATGCAGGCATTGGCTACGCCCCTCCGCCGTGTGAAGTAGTGCGGGACAATGAGGAAGCAGAGGTTTATAAGTAGACCGCTGCTGAACCCTGAGATAAAATAAATGAGGTGTAATTGATATATAAATGCTTAATAGGATAATTTTAATTTCTATGTTGAGTTAATGTTAATCATTAATTAAAACCTCACCACCAAGGATGGAGAAGGAGACGAGGAGGAAGAAGGCCGAGGTGGCGAAGGCTGAAAGGATGACGGAACAGGAGATCATGATGGAACTCATCATGGCCACCTTCCTCCAGCCGAATTCCTTCACCAGGGGACCAAGAAACAGACCAGCACTGTGCCACATAAGCTGCAAGATACTGAAGAGCCAGCCAATGGTGGTGGAAGAAGTGCCCAGGTCCAGGAATAAGGGGGAGAAGAGAAGGCTGAAGCAAGTATCCATAATGTTGCTCAGCATCTAAAAGGTAAAGAACCGTCACATGAAAACCAACACTGAGAAGCTATCATACATATCCAGAGCAATATTATAAGGATATTTTTTTTTTGGATAAGACTATTGCCGTAGTCATCAAGAAGCAATGCTAATTAAAACTTTTCATATAACCCTACCTCCATCTTTCACTATTTTCTGTTTTGCACCTTGTTTATCCTAGACTCGGGGCATCAGTTACCTTCCTATCCTACTGAACAAGCCTCCTCCCCAAAACACTTAACTCACCAAAATTATGAAAGTTCCCAGCAAAATTGACCACGCCCCATTACAGTTGGATGCTTCTCTTCCTCTGGCCTGCCTCAAGTTCTCGTTGTCTTCTTCCTGGTTGTCCTTCCGCTTCGTGCTGGAGGCATCCCCAGGAATGCTGATGCATTCTGCTTCCACAGAGTTTTTTCTCACTTCTCGTGGAGATTCTGTTTTATTTTCTAAATTCTTTCGTAATATACACTGATTGTGCTTGGTATCAGAGCCTCTAAAACAGCGTGTGTGTTCATTCACTACCTTCACTGACCTTAGTTGGTGATCGTTGTCGGTTTGGGACATCTTTGTTAAACGTTTTTCCTTATTCGTTGACAACTGGGCTGAGAAATTGGAAGAAATTACTGTAAGTTATACGGTTTTTAAGGGATGTCCCTCAGGCGGGAAGCGAATTGTGTAAAAATCTAAAAGAACAAATGGGAATGACATTTAATGACAAAGGACGGAATGTACTGCGGACATGGAGAAAGGAAAATGAAAATGGGGAGACTCTTGAGCAACTGCCTTGTTTCAATTGTGTAATATTGAAAAACATTAAACTTAATTCAATAAAAATCATAAGAAAGGAGGAGGAGGAGGCGAGACCGGCTAAAAGTAATTTCTAAGAACGATAAGCCTTTATGAGTTGATGAGAGTCTGTGGAACTGTTATGAATGGGTGAAGGAAAAGTGGTTGAATGGATGACAAGTGTATTTAGGTTATGCAAGACAGAGGGAAGATATTAAAAGAATGGCAGATTGGAGAATAAGTACATTGGAAATAAAAAAAAAAGGATATAACAGGCATTTCGAAAATAAATGTTGCAAAATCAAAGATTGTGTTAGAGGAGGAGCATTGTAATGTTAGTCAGGGAAAAGGGTGGAATGAACAAACATTTACATTCAGGAACACAGGGGAGTTCTTTTCGAGCCAGTAAATAATTTGTTGTGTTTATGGATCTAGAAAAACAATGTGGACGGTACTGAACATAAATATTGATCACTACAGGGACGAAGTATGGTTAAGTTGGTCAATATTTCAGGTATAGTGCTATGAAGAGTTCGATCGGTAGACGAGAGAAGGAGGAGGAATCCTTCTCGTCAGTCACACGGTATTGCTCTGGTTGCCAGTAAAAGAAGTAGCGCATACACGTTGTGTTACAACATTTCCACACAGAAAAGCCTGATACAAGAATTACATAATATAAGAATCATGAATATATCACTATAAATTTGATAAATTTTTAATAGAAAATAGACTTAGAACGATACTCACGAGCAGGCAAAACAGTGCTAAAACAAGCAAGTGTCCTGTCATGGGTGGAATGAACCTCCTTGATACCTACGCGCAAGCGCCGTTGTGTAAGGGAAAAACAAATAACCAATCAAATATAATTGCACAGTTGAAAATATATTACTAGTTTAAATATGTATTACAATCAACTAGGAGCAATTACATAAAACAAATCAACTGAAAAATATCATTGGTTTCAATATATATTACTGGGATATATATATTTTACAATGAATACCAACCTTCGAACAAATTCCCCGACAACGCCTCCTAATAAAATTAAAATTAGTATTTTTTGGCCACCATTTTCTGCAGGTTGTGTTATTCTGTAAGCAAAGGGGACACTAACTCAGAACATTTGCACCCACATCATATTTATATCTCCTTGATATATTCAATCATGTATGAATAACACTGTTTAAATGATATGGACCACCGCATTAATCTTTCATTACTATTTCTCGAGTTGCGTAAATTCAGTGGTTGATGCTGCGTCTGCAATTTGATTTACTGACCATACAATTAGTATTTGAATCTTTAAATAACTCATATAATTGCTAAACATTTTTTCCAAATTGTTCCATAATTATTATTCTCTATCTAGCATTCTTTTAAAAGTATGGGCCTCTATCCCCGTCTCTGAAGCATCTGACCTCAAAAAGAAAGTTCGCGAATAATCAGACAAGCCAAGAAGTGTCTTACAAGAGATCTTAGACTTTAGTTCATTAATACAGCTGATCTGAACTTTGTTCCAATCTAGTTTATTAAGTTTACTCCTTTTTAGTAAGTAATTCATCTGGCAGCAATACCAGTAAAGTTAGGAACTTGCATGCAGTAATAAGAAACTATAACATTAAAGGATCTTATTTATGTCTTACTTTGAGGATGGGGCATTGATTGAATAGCTGTTACTTCGAAAGGCAGTTAAGCGGTGCCTATGTAACCTAAACTGGAGTTCTCTTAAGTCATAAAGATGTTCAGACCACATATTATTGTGAACAACAACATTATCAAAATAAATTTGGTCCTCTTTAAATCAAGGAATACTCCTCTCGTGAGCCTAATAAAGGTAAGACATGCTATCTTAAGGCTAAATGGCATAACCCTAAACTGCATAAGGCCCTTCTGAGTACCAAACGCTGTATGCATCTTATTCTCCTTAGACAGTGGGATATGTCAGTATCATTTACATGATCCAGTTCATAAAAATAGCAATCAATATCAAAATGTTTTAGTGCCTCATCAGTGGGTGGCATGAGCTCAGCGTCAATCTCTGACACATCATTAAGAGCTCGAAAGCCTATGCAAAAAAGGTCAGTTACCATTAGCTTTTTCAACAAATATTACAGGCGAGCAGAATGAGGGAGTTGAGGCTCATTTACACCAAGTTCTAACTTAGGACCAAAGTTTAGAACATTATTAACAGTGGTATCAAGAAAAACGGGTTCACGTGTAACCATCATTTACTATCATCTCCTAATACACAGACGTGAACAACATCACTCTCATTACCTATAGAGTAGTGGTTCTCAACGAGGTCCTTTTGGACCCCGGGGGAGGAATTTTGGCCAGGGATTGAATTTGGGAGGATTATGTATAGTTCTCCATCCCTGAAAACCGCGCCAGATATTGTTTGCTACCATCTAGTGAGCGCCAGGTCAACTACACTCGTCTGATGCCTGCCTCCATGTCTGGTGAACGCTTTCAATAAGGAACTGCAGGGTGAACAAAAAATTCTCATGGACGGCAAAACCAAAATCTGTTGGTTTATAAGCAAACTGAACTTTTGGAGGGCCCAGATCTTGAAGTATAATCTGCCCCAATTCACGCATCTCAGCAAATGTGAACCATCGGATGGTGTCCTCCGAATCATCTCTGAACATCTTTCCAACCTGCATGTTGAGTTGAGCGACAGATTTACCGATCTCAAACAATTTAACTTTCCTTTTGGACTACTAAGCCATTTCTTTTTAACTGTGAAAATAATGAGTGTCTGGCTATGGACTCTGATTAGATCGACCTGTTGATGGACTTACAAAAGGATGACAGCGTGAAACTGATCCAAGCCTCAAAAAAAAAAAAATGATGTGGATGGATCCCCAAGTCAGCTACAGAAGCCCAGCAAATTCTTCTGCCATTTCCGACCACATACTTGGTTGAATGTGCCTTCAGTGCTGTTGCGAATACTTTGACGGAAAAAAAGAGAACGTATCAACATTTGTGAGCGTGGCGATCTTCAAGCAAAATTGACTTGTTTTGTTCCTTGATTTTCTCATTTAATTTCTCAGTACGAGGCTCAAGGTTCTCATTAAAGTTGTACTATTCGAATAGAAATCTGATTATAATAGTTATAAGTCTGAAACCAAAGTTTTTTCTTATTTAATTTTTTGGTCAAATAACCACCTTTAATTTAATTATTTGTTCATGAAGTTTTGTAATAATAAAAGTTGCTTCTTATTTCTGCCTTCATTTTTAGTAAAATAATCACCTTTAATTAATAATTAGACAATAATTGTTTTGTTTTGTAGACTAACTGAATTTCAATAATTACTATGGTAAAAATAAAGTATAACCAATGATGCAAATACTTCATTCTTTCATGCTGATTCAAGGATGAAGAGGATTTGAAAGAGCCTGGGATCGCTAGGGAGGAATGCGATGTGGGACGTTGAGGAACACTGCTTTAGAGATATGCTTAGTGTCATGGCGAAAACATTTCGCAAGTATATGGAATAGTTTTGTTTTCCCAAGCACTTTAACTAGGTAATCCACGCCATTGTCTCTGGAACCAACAATATGATAGGGACCACGCCATTGCGTCAGTAACTTATCATGACTAGAGGGCAACGGAACCAAAACTTTCTCTCCTTCGTTCAGGAATGTAATGGTATGGAAAATCTGTTGTTAAAAAAAAATCCATCTATTCTCAATGATTGCCTTGGATCACAATCATCAACAGGACAACAAGGCAAATCAAAGTAGATGGCAGAGTTATAGGGCTAACCGAAAACCATCTGGTCTAAGGCTATGGATGATAGCTGTACCGGAAAGGGCCAGAGTTGTAAAAGAGTTGAAGGAACATTCTTGAACAATGGTAGTAGTGACACATGGCATCATGAACAGACACTTGCAGTTCAGAAAGCCTTTGCAAGCTTGTTAAAGATATTGTGACAGTAATAGAAGAAATGGGCAATTCCTTCACCGAAGAGACTAGAGACTTCTATTGCCTTGATACTAAAAATGTCAATCGCTTCTGTCAATATAATCTACCAGCTAGGCAAAACACTGAATGTCCTACCATTGTTTGGTGATTCTGATACAAGATGTGTAGCACTGAAAGGGGTTCTAATCTGTCTTCTAGGACGGACAAAACCTGTCAAGGAAGATAAGGCAAATTGTTGTAGTTCTTCAAACACGAAAACCAAGTATCTCCCCTCATTTGACCTACCAAAACGTCAGATCTTCTTCCTAGTCTTGAGGAGAACACTACAATGCAGTCTCAAGATGTCGAGATTAAGATAATGGGTGGTAATGCTGTGATCCATAGTTGTAGTGAAGCCAGAACATTATGAACGGGCATTGGCGGTGTTCGGCGGACGTGAGAT